TCTGTATTACCCCACCACTCCCCAGCAGACCCATCACAGGAAGTTCTATTTCTCTTCTTTGCCTCGCTGCTTCTCTAACCAGTTTTCTCTGTCTTGGTAAACACGAGAAACATTCATTAATTGAATCTGTAAATGATTAAGATGGCCCCGCATTTGCCTGGTTTTGTGGTATCATGCAGATGTAACTTCTATTTAGCACTTAGAAATATATAAACGCAACAGTATGAGCTCATTCATTATAACTGAACAACTGGTTCATGGTGTTTCTATTTTGTTCATTTCTTTTTTGTTGAGAATTTTATATTATAAAATCTTTAAAGTAAATGCTTTACCTCTTTATCTGCCAAACTAGGTAGTACAAATTTTGCATAGCAGGCATTAACAAATATATCAAGTAATTTTAATAAGCTATTATTTTAAGTAATCTTAAAGAATCATGACTTTAAATTATATATACATTTAAATGCACATCACAAGGATCCTCATTATGCTAAAGCGGAATAAAATTGGCAGATAAAAGGAAGCCTTAAACTATCCTGATACTCAAAGTAATATTCAATTTTTCACAGACTTTAAATTATAATGGGAATGTTACTAGAGCTGTCAAATTTTTCCCAAAGCAATCTTCAAGGCTAATCAACATAGACAATCACTCTTTTCATTTCTACAGCAATAAGAAAATTTTAAGCAATATCTTTTGATTGGAGTTGTGCTGAAAATTGCTTAGTTGGAAACCTTATTTTAAATGCAACAAGCCTGAAATATTAAATGTAATTTGCCATGAAGCCTGGAGACAGAATGAAGCATTTGGCACATTTTTCCTAATTGTTTCTGATTAGTGTCTCGGTGGCTCCAGCACATCTTCATGTTGAAATTCATCTTTGAGGGCTTCAATGTCTTTGACCACTACTTTAAGTCAAAAGAGAGGCTAAAAATAAAATAATATGGCTAATACAAAGTGGAAATCTTTACATATACTGACTTTAAGAAATTTTATTTAATTCAGCATGAGGAAAGCCCCAAGAGAAGGAAAATGACTGGTATTTAATGAACATTAATTAAGGCGACACATTATTTGATATTCTTATGGACAAAATTACTGTCCCCAGATGAGTAGTCATTGCTGCAGATAACAGATTTAGTTTTCAAGTGACAATCCTGTTCTTGTTTAAGTCTGCTTAGCAATAAGTAAGATTCACTCATATTTAAATGTTAATTTAGAAAATTTATGCACCATAAAACATTCTCTTGTACAAAAGTAAAATTTTTATTCTTTATCTCTACCAGGGTAATGATAACTTTAACAAAAATTGTACAACAGCAAAATAATTGAGTGTGATCTTTTTTTTCTGTATTTTAGGGAAGGGTCTACAGGGTGTTCAGGGTTTCACTACCAGATCAGACTCACAGTGATCCCCCTGTTTGCAGCCTCCCAAGTGCTGGAATTACACGTGTGCCCCACCATGCCCAGTCTCAATTGCCATCTCGGTACACCCCAGGGGTGGGGCCAGCATAGCAGGCCTGGGGATCGAACCCCTGCCCCCTGCACCTACTTGCAGGCGCTTTAATCTGCCAAGCTATTTGGCCAGCCCTCAAAATAATTGAGTTACACAAAAATTTAGCTAAGTGGCCCAATCACCTAATATTATTGAGCAAGTTATTGGAGTCTGGAAACTTAGTGACTTGCTCAATATAAAGTTATCAAGTTACTTACAGTGAATCACAATGGCACTTCAAAATTCAGTTGCAACCAGAATCATGGAATGAATTCTACAACCAAAATCATGGAAAAATTAAAACTCATGACCCAAGGTACTACTGTAGAATAGTGAAGGAAATTATAACTAGATTGTAAATTCTAATTCAGACAATATTAGCACTGAATAAATGTGTTTTCCATAGTTCTATGAAAGTCATTAAATTTTTCTTTCATAGTAAGAGCACCATTTTATAACTTTTCCACTATTTTAATCTGGAAAAGTTTTTTTTTTTTTTTTTTTTCAGAACTGGGAATTGAACTCAGGCCCTTGCACTTGACAGGTAAGCGCTTATTCTACTGAGCTATCTCCCTGGCCCCTAGATAAAGTTCTCCTATCCATTTAAACCATGAATAAATCAGTTATTGGCTTCATATTGTTTTAAGGAAGGGTCTACAGGGTGTTCAGGATCTCACTACCAGATTGGACTCAAAGTGATCCGCTTGTTTACAGCCTCCCAAGAGCTGGGATTACAGGCACGCACCACCTAGCCCAGTCTCAATTGCTGTTTCAGTGTACCCCTGGGGGCCGATCTGGCATGGCAGGCCCAGGGATTGAATCCCTGGCCCCTGCACTTTCTTGCAGGCGCTTTAATCCACTGAGCTATTTGGCCAACCCTTGGCTTCATGTTTTGAGGAGAAAAACCATGATATACAGTAATAACTTGGTTCAACAATGCTTCAATTTGCAAACTATTTCATTCATGAGCAGAAGCATGTGGCAAAATTTTGCTTCCATTCATGAACTCCACATGGGTGACAAACACAACCCCAGCCATCATCCCCGACCTGCTACATGGTCAAGCCTTCCTCTAGTCGAGATTGGGGTTACAAGCAGACCTCAACATACTTGCTGTGAAGCGTGTGTGTGTGTGTGTGTGTGTGTGTGTGTGTGTGTGTGAAAGAGAGAGTGCATACAGTACTGTACAGTATTATTCAATCCAACACAGCTCTAATCATTTAAGTGAATTCATGAGCTAATGTTCCTCTCTCTGAACTATCTCTTCTGTCACCTAGCTAACTTCTACTTGAATTAGGAAAGATAAGCTCTTTCTTCAAAACTTGCTTGTAGTCATCTTTAATTTCCTTGGAATGTCTGTGTTCTACTTTTCTGTTTCTATACTTTCCCTCTGGAGAGAATCATCTATTTTTTATAAAATAGGATTTGAATTTAATATTAATGATTTTTTCCCATTATGACCTGAAAACCTAAATGCTTTAGAACTAAGCCATCAGTTTGTTTAGCTGGAGCTGGGCAGTGGGACAATAGATATAATACAGAGCACCAACACATGGGGTAACACAAGTGCCTGACACCAAGAAGGTGGCTTCAAAGTTCACTTACATGAGCCTCTAGGATAGCAAGACCAACGACTGTTAAAGCTCTTAGGAGCCACCTTGAGGACTCCCTGTGAATCATCTGGAAGGTGTCCAGAACATGGGAAGAAAGTCAACATTCGTGGAGAGCAGGACTACAGAACACTGGGCTAATGCACGGTTTTAAGGAGCATATTGGAGGTCTTTGTGGTCATCACGCAAATATTCCTGAATATAAAATTTAGTGCCACACTAATAAAAAGTAGCTGTGGCTTAAAAAAAAAATTGAAGCACAGTAATATTTGCCTTGCTTTAGTAATAAACATTTATCTTAACAACACATTTTAATGGTGCACAATTTAATTCTTTGTACTTAAGAATGCAGCACAGCTCCACTCACTGAAGATACAACAAAAGGCTGATTCACACGGGAGCCATTCCTAGGCGATAGCGCAGATCTGGTTCCAAATCATCTCAATAAAGCAAACTTTCAGGATGAAGCAAGTCACGCAGTGGTTTTGGGGTCTCAGTGTATATAAAAGGTTCCCTATGTCTGAAAAAATAATATATACCTTAACTAAATAATATCTTATCGCTTAAAAATGCTAATTATGGGGCTGGTGAGATGGCTCAGTGGTCTGGAGCACCTACTTGGAACAAGCTAAGCTAAGCAGAGCACAGGGACCGCGGTTCAATCCCCAGCACCACATGCCAACCCCCTGGTGGGCTGAGCTGGCCACACACACACACACACACACACACACACACACACAATAAATAAATGTAAAAAAAATGCTAATCATCTGAGCCTTTATTCAATTGTAATCTTTCTGCTGGTGCAAGATCTTCCCTTGATGTTAATGATTGCAGACTGATCAGGGTAGTGGTTGCTGAAGGTTTGGGTAGCTACAATTTCTTAAAATCAGACAATAATGAAATTTGCTGCACCACTGTCTCTTGCTTTCATAAAAAGAATCCTCAGTAGTATGCAATACTATTTGGTAACATTTTACCCAAATAGAATATCTTTCAAATTTGGAGCCAGACCTCTCAAACTCTGGTGCTGCTTTATCAGCTAGGTTTATATAATATTCTAAATTCTTTGTTATTTCATTAATGTTTAGAGCATTTTCAGGAGTAGATTTCATCTTAAGAAAGAGCATTCTTCACCTATTTGTAAGAAACAATGCATCATCTGTTAAAGTTTTATTCTGGAATTCCAGTAATTCATATCCATCTTCAGGCTCCGCGTACCTTGAGAATCTATTGTTTATTATAACCACCTTCGTAAATTATTTCATCTTATATCTTCTGGAAAACTTGGGACAGTGTTTACATTAGTACTTCTGCTTTTATGTTATGAAAATGACGTTTTTTGTTAAGCCTCACGAACCAACCTTTGCTAGCTTCAAATTTTTCTACTGTAGCTTCCTCAAAATATATTTACCAATTGACATTTGGGTGCAATTCACAGTATTTCTCATAACATCAAAAATCACAGATCATTGCATTATATAAACGATAGTTTTAAATACTACGAAAATTACTACGACATAACAATGTACACACGTTGGAAATGACACTAATAGACTTGATCCACGCAAAACTGCATCAAGTCTTAAAATTGTAAACAGAGAAGTACGCCTGCATGGATTTCCACATCTTCTTCGTTTAAACGGAAACGTAAAGTAGAACTTCAAAAAGATTTGTTTGCGCGGGTTCGTTGGGCGACGCGAGTCAGGACCCTAAGACTGGAGTCTTCCTACGCTCCAAGGAGTCCGGGGTCACACCAAGTCTCAGACATCGCGAGACTGGAAGGCCCCAAAATGGCGGTTGCCGGTCCGTCTGGCCCAGGATAACGTTACGTCGCGTCACCAGGGCAACGACGCACTTGCGGGGAGAGCGTCCCGGGGTGAAAGTCCAGAAGAGGCGTTGCCGCCCACTCGTTTGCGCCTCGTGGGGACCCGAGACTGAGTAGGGTGTCAGCAGCTCCCGGGACCGTCGCGGCGAGCGCTGGCGACGAGCGCGCGCGCCTCCTTCCTCGCCGCCTCCTTGGCGCCGTCCGGCCTCGGCAGGGAGCGCTGCCGCGCCTCTGTTCCCGCGTCCTCCTCCGGGTGGCGCCCGCAGAGTTGACGCTCGCCATGGAAACGGGGCGCGGCCTCCGAGCTGCGCGGGGACCTGGTTTGGGGACCGCCGCCGCTCGGCCGTCCCCGCGCTGGACCGCGGGCAGCCTCGAGGCGGGAGCCCAGCTCGGCTGATCGGCCAGAATGCAGCCCCGGGGAGGCCTTGGCGTCGGCCTTCCCTTGGGGTGACGCAAGGTACGTCCGGTCCAGCCGAGGAAGCCTGTCTGCCTCCGCTTCCAGTCTTGCGCGCAGCCGCGCTGTCCTTTCAGGCGTCTGTTGCCACAAAAAAATATGTTTCGTAATCTTTTATTAAACCTTTAGGTGTGAGCAGTACATCTTTTTTTTTAAAAAAACAACGTGAAATGAACTCTGCTGTTAGAAGTAGTAGTCCAGTGTGGTTTTTACTCGGGATGACGTTTGGCCCGTTGAGTTGTAGTACTTTGTTTCTAAGCGACCCGTAGGTAACAGAAAATGGCTTTTTTAACCCTTGATTGAAGGGAGGATACCTACGCTATCCCAGTAGAGTTCTACCAGCCACGACCCATAGATGGCGCTGCACTCTACTTTTGTTCCCAATTTGTCAGCTCGGGATCCCTTAAAAGCCAGTGTCTCTCGTTTCCCATTCCTGGCCTGGGTTCTTTACAAGCCTCTCCCTGCTCCTGAAGACCGGAATTTACCCTAGTGAGGTCTACCCCCATCGAAAGGTACTGTCAAGCTCAGAGTTACACGCTCTGTCCATCGTTTTCTACGATTTCGTCCGTTTGTCACTACGTGATCTTTCGTGTTGTTAAACTTTTTCAGTGATTGGGTCAGAGACCATCCTTAATATTTGCTGTCTCCGCCCACCCGCACCAACTCCCACCACTGTCCTCGTAGCTTCCAGTTGAGCTATTGCTAGGTCGTTAACTGAACTGTTTGAGGTGCCCGTTGTCTACCTGTGTATTGCCTACTCAGACAGATGCCCATTAACGATTAACTGCTGTAGGAAATGCCAGGTCGAAAGGCTTTTGTTGTTGTTGTTGTTGTTGTTGTTGTTGCTTTTGGTAAGAGTTTGAGACAATTCACATTCCATTCAATTCACAATTTGAAGTGTACAGTTTATTGTTTTTAGTATAACCACAGAATTGTGATAGAAAAAACATTATAAACGCAAAAAGATTTCACTAACCAAAGTAATAGGAAATCAGCAATGGTTGCTGTATTATATGACGTTATCTTTAAATTAGTTGTTCAGATTGCCACATATAATGCTGTAAGATTGGTTTAAAGAAAAAAAAGAATAAAAAAAGTTATGAGAAATGCAAAAGAGGAAAACATTAAGCATTAACTGCTCCTTTCAAAAGACCAGCAGAAATCAACAATTATCCAAACTATTCAGCATATATGTGTGTTTGTGTGTATTTCCCTTCTTTCATTTCTCCTTTTCCTCCCAGTTTTTCCTTCCCATTGAAGTTTCTTTCTCTTTCGCAGTATCTGTTATACCTGTTACATTTTCATTACTCTTTCTGGTTCTGGCACTAGCAAGATAATATGATGTTTGTACATGTGGATCTGATTTATTTTACTTACCAATATACTTTCTAGCTGCATCCATTTATCTACAGAAGCCTCAAATTTATCTTTTATGGCTGAATAATACTCTGTTGTGTAAAAATACCATATCTTTTTTTAGCCATCCCTCATTTGATAGGCATTTGAGTTGTTTCCAAGATTTAGCTATGACAAATTGTGCTGCTATAAACATAGGTGCACATTTATCACTGTTGTATGATCATTTCAGTTCTTTTAATAAAACACCTAGTATGGGAATAGCTATCTTGAATGGGCTCTCCAATCCTAGCTTTTTGAGGAATCTCCACCCTGATTTCCAAAGTGGTTGTGCCAGCATGCACTCCCACCAACAGTGGCGAAGGATTTCTTTTTCCCCTAATTCTATAAAATTTTGTTTCCCCACAGCTTCTCCAGGATTTGTTATTGGATGACTTCTTGATGATAGCCATTTTCTCTGACATAAGATGATATCTTAGTGTTATTTTAATTTGTATGTCTTGAATGATCAATGATGTTGAACATTTTTTCATTTATTTATTTGCCATTTGTAACTCTTCATTTGTGAGGTGTATTCATCTCAGGTGCCCATTTTTGGATTGGGTCTTTGAATTTTGGAGGCCTGATTTTTTTTTTTTTTTCCCTAATTCTTTATAGTTCTAGATAGGAGTCCTTTATCTGACAGACAGTCTGCTGTAATTGTCTCAGTTCGTGGGTTTTCTTTTACTCTGTTGGCGATTTGTTTTGACATGCAAAAACTGTTCAAAAAGATGAGATCCCAGTTGTTGATTCTTTAAAGTGTTTCTTGTGCAGTTTGATTTTTGTTCAAGAGCTCTTTACCTAACTCTGTGTCCTTAAGGTTTCTACCTACTTTCTCTTCCAGAAGATTTAGTGTTTCAGTTTGAATCTTTAAATCTTTGATCCATTCTGACTGTAGTTTTGTGCATGGTGATAGGCATGGGTCTATTTTAAGCCTTCAGCATGTGGAAAGCCAGTATTTCTAACACCATTTATTAAAGATGCTTTCTTTCTTCCAATGAACATATTGGACTCTTTGTTAAAGATAAGGCGACTAAGTGTGCTTGTAGTTGTGTCTATATCGTCTAATCTGTTCCATTGATCCTCAGATCTGTTTTTATGCCATTACCATGCTGATTTTGTCACAGTAGCTTTGTAGTATAATTTTAATTCAGGGATTGTGTTGCTTCCTGCCTTTCCTCTGATGCTCAGGATTGATTTTGCTATTCTAGGTCTCTTTTGGTTACAGATGAATTTTAGGAATTTTTTTGGATCTGTGAAATATACTAATGGTATTTTAATTGACATTGCATTGGATCTGTATAACAATTTTGGAAGTGTGGCCATTTTCACAATGTTGGTTCTTCCTATCCTGGAGCACAGAATATATTTTCATTTTCTGAAATGCTCTTCGATCTCTTTTTTTTCAGAGTACTATAATCTTTGCTGTATAAATATTTTACTTTGTAAGATTGACTCCTAAGTATTTTATTTTGAGGGGTATTATTGTGAAAGGTGTGGTTTCCAAAATTTGTCTCTCAGTGCATTCGGTATTTGTGTATAGAAATGCTATCAGTTTTTGAGTGTTAACTTTGTATCCTGCTATGCTACTAAATTTGGTTATTAAATTTACAAGTCTCTCGGAGTTTTGGGGACCATCTATGTAGAGTATCATGTCATCTGCAAATAATGATGATTTCACTTCTTCATTTCCAATCATTATTATTTTTTTTTCTCATCTAATTGCTGTGGCTAATTTTCCAGAACTATATTGAACAGGAGTGGTAACAGTGGGCTTCCTTGTCTTGTTCCTCATTTTAAAATGAAGGCTTTACATTTTTGTCCATTAAGTATAATGTTGGCAGTTGGTGTGTTGTAGATGGCGTTTATCAGATTGAGATAAAGATGATCTGTTCTGATTTTCTGTAGTGTTTTTATCATGAATAAGTGTTGGACCTTGTCAAAAGCTTTTCCTGTGTTTGTTGAGGTGATCATGTGATTTTTGTCTTTGGCTCTGTTGCTGTGGTGTATTACATTTATGGTTTTAGTGTAAATAAATCCCACTTCGTCATGATGTATAACCTTCTTTATGATTTGCTGCATTCTGTTTGGTAGTATTTTATTGAGGATTTTTTCATCTATGTTCATTAGGGAGATTGGCCTGTACTTTTCTTTTTTGATTGGGTCCTTCTCTGGTTGTTGTATCAAAGTAATACTTGCTCTTCTGAGTGAGTTTGGGAGATTGCTTTCTTTTCAGTTTCATTGAAGAGTTTCAGAAGAGTTGGCATTAGGTCCTCCCTGAATTTCT